AGAATACTTTTGAAGAATGTGGAGATAAATACTCACATAACATGAATGCAGTCATATCTGGTCTGGGTGGACCTACCTCATAATGAGGTCAAATGTAATACCTGTGAATGGAATAAACAAAACAAAAAAACTTAAATATTGCATTCTAACAAAATAAACATTTTGCAAGCTACATACAGATCACATAATTTTGAACAAAAGCTTGAAATGGACAGTCACTAGTAATGATCTCTCCGGTCTGCAGTTATACCTACTTGGATTTTATTCCAGTAATTAGTCACATGACATTTACGGCTCATGTGATTGGCTCAACAAAACCTATGTCCAGATATCATGGCTGTATCTGGATATGTATACTTCTGCTATATAGTAGACAAAAACATACTTCTCTACTTTATAGCAGACAAAAAAACAATGGTTGCATCCAAAATTGTATACTTTCCTACTACACAGTAGGCTAAAAACAGTATGTGTGTCTTTATTCATAGACAGAATGCAAGTATGCGCTTGCAATTTTAGAACCAGCCATTCATACTCTCTGAGTATGTATTTCTATTGAATAAGTAGTTACTTTGCGACCCTTAAAAGAGTATGTTCTATAGTATGAATGTGTAGTATGACTATAATACTGTGAATTTGGACATACTATTCTGTTCACATACTATTTTTTGTCAACTATATAGTAGGGAAGCGTGCGATTTCGAATGCAGCCTTTGATATGAATGGAAATGCTAACACACACTGCTTTCTTCAGATAGCCTATTACAGACCTTTAGCTTTGCTGCTCTCTCATGCCCCCTGCTGGATCCCGCAAAGTGTTAGCACAAATCAACCTTTCTATGCTAACAATGCTAGGTTATTAGCACATCTAGAGAGTATTCAGTCCTTGTACTATCCCATAATCCCTCTGTGCGTGTGGGTTTGTGGAGCTCTCAGAGGAAGCCTCCTGGCTCGTCTCTGTGGCATGGGCAGAAAAATGGCTCTGTCCCGATTCCACCCTATAATCAGCGCTTTTAACAGCTCTCATTTTCTGCTGTATATATAACTGTAATTGTTAGGCAATACTCACATGGCAATGCATATGTTCAGCCGTTCACAGTAAATGTCAGAGCAGAACTGTGAGGAACCAAAGAAATTTACTCGCATATAACACAAAACCTGCACACAATATGACAATATGTCATCTGAATATGATTGCTAAGGAAAATCTCAAAAGCCAACATTTATTTTTTATGAAATAGGAATTAGTAAATATAATTCAAAAAGACATTTATGCAATTTTAAATGTCAAACCGTGCATATGAATATAAAATTACCCTAAAAGGCTTTCACAAACACACATTTCTTGATGGTGCATTGATACCACCTCATTTTTTATAATATTTTTATAAATATGATGCGTTCAGAAGATTGATGGTTTAATGGGTAATGAGTGATAAGGTAATGTCACAATTTTTATCAAATTAAGTGGAAAAAAATATACATTTCTAGCATCAATGTTGCCATTTTCAAAAATAACGGCAGATAAAATTCTGTCCCATTTCTCAAAAGTCGGCGATCATTATTTTTTTCCCTCTTTCATAAAGATTGTGATGCACAAAGTGTATTTAGGAATATTTTTAAATTTGTATTTTTAATAGAGCTATAATTCTAATTGTATAATAATATAATTAGAAGTATTTGTGTAAGGCCTGCTTCTTAGGTTTTCCTGACACACTTTCATAATGATTGTGTTAAGATTTAACAAAATAACTTGGGCTTCATAAACAAGTCTGAAAGTGAATATATAACAAGTCGTAATGTATTTCTGACCTAAGCTTCACTTGTTTTATTGCTTTGCTCAGCAATACAACAGTTCCTTCCCAGTGAACATAACAAAGCCATACAACAATGACTGTAGAACTGCCATATACTCTCATAAACGTATCACACTTCTGTTGATCAAATATAATGCGTCACCTAGTTGTGCCATGTGCAGAATTGACAAATGCATTGATATGAGGGCTGAACTGTGATTTGTCTCATAAGAGTCCAATGCTTTCCGTTAGACAGACATGCTGAATGTGCACAGCGTCCTCAGGCTGGCGGTTACAGCTTTCTCCAGAGCTCTTATACAGTAGGAACTAGATGACCTTTCAGGGAAAATTTTAAATGAAACCGTATCACAATATCTTAAATATAATGATTTATACTGTGCCTTTTTTTTTAGCTTGACTTGGTTTGTTTCTCATCTTAAGAAGCCATTTAAATTTATTTGGTACAAAAACTGGTACAAATTTGGTACAAAAACAGAAACCCAGAGAAAAGTCTTTCACAAACACACATTTATTGTTAATGGAGTCCCTGTGCAATGGATCATGGTACACAGTGAGCATAAAAACAGAGTACAGGCAGCTAAATGAGACCTGATGAGCGATATTTATTCACATTTGAGATCAGTTGTTTGCATAGACTTACTACTGTAACACCCATCACAAAACAGTAACAAGAGTTTACATCACGTTGCAGTTTCTGGAATAATTTTGGTATTACTTTCCCATTTATATCCGTCCTGGCTGATCTTAAAAATAATTTTTAGACACATTTCATCCCTGAAAGTATTGCAAATTACATTAAGAGCTTAAACTCTCAACTACTCCATGGAAAACGCCCATAAAAGTGCACAATTAGCACCAGAAGATTATTAAAAAAGTTTGCTGTTTATAATGGACTGAAATGAATTTATGCACCACTAAGAGCATACAGTAACATGTGAATTATAAATAAAAGCATAGGTGAAATAAATCAAGAGTAACATGGTGAAAGTAAAGTACACAATACAGGGACAGAATAAGTCATATTTATGATTTTACAAATGTTTAAAAAAAACACTATATTGTGAAAATGGAAAGTACATATGTTGATGTCCTTAAGATAAATAACACAAGGATTTAAGATACATAGGAATAAAGTCAGTTCATCAGTTCATCACATGCACAATAACTGTTGAACGATGTCTTGTACTGTGCAAAAATTACAAAAGTAAAAACTGATACAGTACAGCTCAAAAAGTGTTTTTTCACTATTTATACACAAAGGGTTCACTACTTTAAGAATATATTTAAAGCTCCGGGCCATAAATGTTAATTCCCAGCATCGCCGCTTTACACTATGAATGCTTTCCAGGACTGTTTGCAACATTGTAACAACATACTCCTTTATACTCATGGATGTTAAAAAAAGCTTCAAGTACATACTAAACAAATTCCAAACCTTGAACATGTTAAATATATTAAAGCAGTCAACCATTTAGCAAGCATTTATTAATACAATGAATTATCAAACTAATAAAACTTTCATCCGGAAAATTTGTTTAACAATGTATTAAATAAATTAATCTTCAGCATATACAACAGCCATTGTTACCCTTTAGGAATCAGGAAAGTCACCGAAAAATTATTAAAAATGTATATTAAAAAAATGGAAAGAAGGCATAAATACTTTAGCATGTTAATAAACAAACAAACAGAAGTGTGTGTTGAAAGATGGTAGTGAATGACCTATTTCTTCCAGAATACTGACATCCATCAATAAAGTGCATAACTCAAACAGAAGAATTAAAATTAGATATAAAACTCATAAATGAACAGAAAAAGTGAACAAACTGCATTTTGATTTCAGGTAAAGTAGATCAGAAAAGGACTTACTAAGATTTCTTTTTTTGTTTTGTTTTTTTTTTGGTAAAATGTAGTTCAAATTAGTTAAAAATGAAAAAAATAAACATTGTACAAATACATTTATTCTATATTTAATCTATAACGTCAAGAAATAAATATATGGGTACATGAAATAAAAAATTTGTTATTTTCTAATGCTAGTCTCATGGTCCCAAGAACTACAGATTTTATATTATGTTTTATTTTTAACCAGATGATCAACAACAACTGCGGCTAACTTAGTCTCTGAAAACAATGTCCTAGTTATTCAATGGATAATAATTCAAGGAACAGTTCACCCAAAAATACAGATTCTGGCTTTATTTACTGACTCCTGTGGCTCTGAACAAGGGCCTCTGCTGCACAGGGTTTCATTGGATGTCAAACTAACCGAGCCAGTAAAAGTTTGAAAAGAAATGAAAAGGATTTCTAGGCACACCACTCCTTCCAAAGCTCTGGGCATTAATCCGATAAGAGAGACCACTAAAGGCCAGTTCACACCACACCATCAGACACAGACCAGCGCTGACAGCCGACCAGTATGTCACTTCTCAGATATCCCAAGAGCCAACAAATGTCGATTCAATTTGCGAAAACAAGCGCCAACCAATGCCAGCAGACGATGACACACTAATCAGACAAAACCTGACCAGTGTATCTGTTGCCAGTTGTCGCAATCTGTCGGTACAGTGTGAATTGGCCTTAAGAGACACTCGTATGATTCATATGACACATATGATAGAATACAAAATGAGAATTTTTGAGGAATATAATATCCACTCTTTTCAATAAAATGAAAGTAAAAAGGACTGGGACTATCAAACTCCAAAATTACAAACAATGCACTATAAATACATAATAAAAGTATATACCAAATCTTCTCATAAAAAACCATGTGTGCCAGGCAGACTGACTGAAAATTAAGCTATAATTTACTAAAAAATTTTGACATCCATAGTAGATCTCAAGAAAGGAATACAGATATCCATTGTCTTATAAATATAGTTCCTAAAAATAAGTTCCAGTCTCTATTCATTGCAAATGGGTGGAAAAGGGCAACCAGTATGTTACTGTACTTAAAAACCAAAGTCAAATGCAAAATACTAAGAAAAATCATAACAGAATCTCATTTTAGGTGAACTAAGCCTTTCGTTTGATTTCCAAACATCTGGAAGAGTTAATTCAGTTCCATAGAGAAAATCGTTTAGTGATGTAGCGTCCACTCATTAGTGCTACAGGAAGACTGTTCTGAGATCAGCTGAGATCTCCTCATCTTTCACCCAGTTTATTGTCCAACTAGCCGCATTTCTGGGAGCCATTAATGAACATCCTCTCCTCTCACCTCTCTTTACCAGGCTCAAATGAAGTTATTGCTGATCTGACGCTGATGTTCGAATAAATCTTCAGTTTCAGCACTGTAGGCATCACCTGTGAAACAACAGTGTATCAGAATTTAGAATGTACGTGCTTGAGTATACATACATATATGTCATGGTTCATTCATTGTTAGAGGGATTATACCTGCATGACAGCCATACATAAACACTCTGTGTCCATCATATTTACATCGACAACGCATGACGTTGTTCATAAAATCTGATTCAGCCATGTCCAGCGACGGATTTACCTCAACCTGACAAAACACACACACACACAGAATAAATAGAGTTGTTTAGTAATGAGGTCAAATTGTAGGGCAACCCAGAAGGATAGTTTGCCCTGGGATCCCTCAGGAATTACTAATGGGTAAAAAAAAAAATGTCTGGTTAAGATTACTAAGAGACTTTCACTTTTTGTATGTCAAAAATCAAACTCAATTATACCTCAAACGTGAATTTTGAAGCCGCTTCATTTTTTAAATACATTTAAATTTTTTATATAGGTTTGCAAACAATTTGCTACATAAGGACCATCTAAATAAAATTAAGTAATATTAAAAATTATAATAATTATTATTATAGCATTAATAATAATAATAATAATATAAAACACACACAGTATTACATTATTAAATACAAGCAGTTTTATTATGTCTGCCTGAAATAATATTTAGTCATTTGGTGTCATTTAATCGTAGCACTGTAAAAGTTTCACAGTTGCAGACATGCAGAACCAACAAGGATGTGGAGCTTGTAAGAAAATGTTATGCAATCAGATCGCTCATCAAACTACTTTACAAAATGGTTCCACCAAATCAGACTCCCAAAATAGTTATATAGTCACAATATAATAATTTATTAGTATGAAAACATGCTGTTTAAGCAGGGTATGGGGTCAAACGAGCATCTCTGAGCTACATCATTCTATGGAAATTTAATGTGATAATGCCTACTAGGCTTAAGAACTTCTTAAATGCTGAAACAACAGTTCTTTTATTTTATTCTGGAAATATTTTTCTTGCCGAAGGTAATTATTTTGCGAGCACATTCAAATGTGAGTCTCGCTTATCTTTTTTTCTTTGCGTTTTTAATGACAGTGCGCAACTTTAACTCTGGACTGTGGAGCTCTGGGTCTGTCTGACCATATGTTTGAGTGAGAAAGTGCCTTTAAACAGGCGGGTGTAAATTCCTCTGAACCTAATTGACCATGTCTAATAGAAGGGAATACAGCACGCCTTGCTCCTCCAGCAGGGAATGCTTAGCATTGGGTTATTTTGGGTGTAGATTTAAAGACAAGCAACATGTTTGCTTGGATCATCAAGTACAGAAGCTTCATTTATTCAGCGTCTTTGCTCAGGCGGGCTTGCATGGGACAGTTGCCATTGCTCTACATGGAGATGGGAGCTCTGACCTTTGAGTATCACCACGGCTCGCTGCTGTGCCATACATAGCAGCAGCCTGATGCCGGTTTGTAATTAGCATCTGCCAAACGTGCTTAAAATACATGCAAATCTATCATGGCGACATTTCGAGCAAATAAATCTTCAAAATGGTCAAGGCACAAAGGTACACTGTAATTAAAACAAAGCTTCACATCAACCTATATTTTATGACTGGGATGCATAAAATGCCTCTTGATTGGCCCCTAAAAGCGGCTCTTTGATTGGCTGGTTCTGCATGTGAAGCTCAGCTGCTGAACTGCTCACAGTGCCCACAGTGATTTGGATGATTAACACGTTCCAAAGTTAATGACAGAGAAAAAGTGGCTAAACTGCATCCTGAAAAGAGAATCTACTGTGTAAAAAAGTTTTGTGCTGTGACTGCTATGGCATTATTTTAATGACAAATGTAAAGAGCGCCTTATTGTAGCGCAAAAGCACATTAATATAATGCGCGAGTGTGAATCTCCCCGCTCGCACGCGGATTTCCTTTGCTCTCGCACAAAACCGGACGCGCGCGCTCTAAACACGCTGCTCTCGCCCAGAGAGTATGCACGCACTTAAAATGTGTCTCTCCTCTCACTCAAACTGTCCTGTGCACTCGCAAATCTCTCTGTGCTCATGCGCTAGATATTAATT